CCCCCCCGCCTTCCAGAGATCGTGGAAGATGTTCCCCCCTCTGATGACGCCCCACGTGGCATGGGGCAGAAAAACGCTTTAAGGAATTGCCACGCCCTGCCCGCAATTCGACGAGATGATCCACGCGGATGCAGAAACGCGTTGGTTTTGGAGGAGAGAGATGAAGCGGGATATAACCTTTTTCCCTCTTTTTTCCGCCTCCCCCCTCTCTCCATTCCCCGTTTATCCTTCTTCCCATATGGAACTACATGAATGTTTGACAACAGAGGAACGAGGTGCGCAATGTATTGTTTTTCTGGTTGCAGAAAAAACTATTTGGTGTGATCTTTGGTCATTGTTTGATGTATGGACTACGCCTCCTTTTCTCGTGTGGATGCTCCCCTGTCTCTCCTTACCCTTTGATTCAATGGAAACATCGCTTGTCTTTTTCCTCCTCTCCTTCTCCTTCCTCCCTTTCTTTCGCACCTTTACCTCCTTCTCTCAGGCCTCTCCCCTCCTCCCGCTCTCCTCCCCCCCTCTTTCGCTCCCTCTGTCTCCCTCTTCTCCCGCCTCCATTTCCTTGCTCCTATCTTCTGCATGTTTTTCCCGCTATAGCTAGTTGTCTTTTTACCTCTTCCGGCGGTGTCTCGTCCTTTGTTGCACTCTTACTTAGTTATGTCGATGAAAGTGTATGATCGTGTCTGGGAAATTACATGTGATAAATTGTTTTCAATGCTTGTCGTGCTTTTCGGTATTTCTATACTAGCGGATTGTTTTGTGTATCTCGCTTTTTTTGGCATTTTCTATGGTAATATATTGTTGATGCCCCCTTAGAAAACGAGGCATCCCTACCCCCCTTCGCTCCGATTCGCCACCAACAAATAATCGGCCTACTTCGACCATAAACACCACAAATGGACACACGAATGGTTTTACCCCGCCGTATTGAAAGATCGTCTCCCGCGTCTTGCTTTTTTTTCTCACAGTGTGCCGACGCTTTTGGTCGAAGTAGCACGAGTATGACGTGTCGTGCTCGTGCGAAACTCATGTGACACACACATGTTATCCACTCCGATTCGCCACCAACGCATAATCGGTCTACTTCGACCGTAAAATGGCCCTATGTCTTTACCCTCACCACAAATGGACACACAAATGGTCTTACCCCGCTGGGTGGAAAGATCGCCTCCCGCGTCTTGCTTTCTATGCTCACAGTGTGCCGACGCTTTTGGTCGGAGCAGCACGAGTATGACGTGTCGTGCTCGTGCAAAACTCATGTGACACACGCATGCTACACACACACACACATACACGTGTGCACACTTTTTTTTATGTTGTTTAATTGATTGATTGATTGGTGGGGGAGGGGTCGCCCCCAACCCCCGCACCACCCCTCACACACACACACACACACACACACACACACACACACACACACACACATGAACATGGCTGCCCTCGGAGCGTGGCCGCAGGGGATACTACATAGGTGGCAGGGGGTCCGGCGTTCCAGATACGGCGGACCCTCTCTCCCGTGGTGGGGGGTCTAGCATTCCGGGTCCGCCAAACCCCCCAACTACCCAAAGCAGCGGGAGGGGAGAGTGGTAGGGGGTCCGGGCACTCCCATGCCCGGGGTAGGGGGTCCAACGTTCTGGATCTTCTAGACCCCCACTGCTACCTTATGCGGCATGGCGGGGGTCCGGGGGCCCCCATATCTGCATCCATGTCCGAGGGGGGTCCAGCGGTCTGGATCCACTGGACCCTCTTTCCCACGGCAAGGGGTATGGCGTTCCTGATACGTTGGACCCTCTCCCCCATGGCGGGGGGGTCCGTCGGGCCCTTTCCCCCGTGGCGGGGGTCCAGTATTCCGGATTTGCCAGCCCTCCTCTTCGCCGTGGTGGGGTTCCGGCGTTCCGGATCCGCCGGACCCTCTGGCCCGTGGTGGGGTTCCGGAGTTCCGGATCTTCCGGACCGTCTGCCTCGTGGCGTGGGGTCCGGCGTTCCGGATCCGCCAGACACCCCCACTTTGTGGGATCACATGCTTTTCTCGCGGCTGGAGACGGGATGGGGTGAGGCGTTCCTGGAACGTTAAGCCCTCTGCCTCGTACGTTGAGGGGACGACTCCGACTCATTCATGTTGCATGAGTTGTTCCTTTGTACGACCATGCCCTTCTGGTGTTTGTTTTTGTTTTGGCTTCTTATATTATGTCCTCTCACAGGTCATTTCCATCTATGTTCAGGAGTCAATGGAAAGCGAAATGGACAATTCTTACAATGGTTTTTTGCCATATGTGCACGCTCTTCGCACGCCCGTGCCTGATGCTCCAGATAACTCCTATGAGAGCCGGTCTCCAGATATTGCTATCACAGCATCAAACCATGGGCACCCTGCACACCGTGGTGATGGCATGCCCTGATGACGCACACGCCATCGGTCGATGTCATCTTCCAATATCAACGTCGTGCGGCGTCTTCGCCTTAACGACATCATCCACGACGTAATCTGTTTGACTTCTATTGTTGATACATGCCCAACGCATGGGTTTCCCGATCCTTTTATTCAGGGGATTTCGTCACCGGCAACTGGCGCTGACGACCGGTATGTTCTCATTCACATGCTATCATTGCCCTCACGTGAAGGCAATGAAAGGGGGGGGGGGTGAGGGAGTCGCCATC